AGCATACTGCCTTTTGAAGTTTTCCATGTTAACAACAGATGCTTGCCGAACCAAAGCCTGTTGCTTGTCCACTGGCTGGAAAATAAGAGAGCAATTTTATTGTTTGGCTCCCTTTGGTGCATAAAATACATAAGATTCTTCATGTGCTCTGGAGCTGGCTGAAAAGAATGCTGGCTGGGGATTCATACGGGGAAAAGGCAGCAGAAAAAATAATTAAATCTAGTTCACCCTGTGCCTGGACAGGACCCCTTCGATGTCAAACAAAATCCTAAAATTAGTGTACAGCCAGTAGTCACGCTTGGCCCTGTGCACAACATTGTGCTGAGAAGCTCCAGTGCTGCCCCTTTCTACCACTCGATCTGGCAAAAAATAAGTGTATCACAAGCCACAGACTGCTCCATCCTCCACTTTGCCTTCTGCTTCTTAATGATCCACATAAATAAAACAAAACAAAACAAAAAGCCTGGGAAGAGTTTTTCTAGCTAAAGGACAGGATGATGGACAGCCAAACAAAAGCTAACTAGGGGGATGCTAGAGGGTGCTAAGGCAATGCTTTCACTCTGTAAAGTCGCTAAGGTGCTTCTCAGTGCGCATCTGCACCATCTCCATTTTCTCTGGACTGAGCTCATATCGACTGGCCTTTATTCACATCCCTCTTTCTGAAAGCCATTGGGAGAGCAACAAAAAAGTTCCACAGAGTCCTGACAGAAAGGAGATGGAGCTGTTGTCGGCACATCAACAGCACTGCAGCACGCTGCTGCTCAGGCGTTTTGCACATGCCTGCTAGAAATCGTGACACAATAGGACCAAACCCAGCATCACCACACTGCTAGGTCCCATGCCACCTGCTAAATTTTCAGATAGAAGTTTTCACGTTTTGTCCTTTACGTGGATACTTTAAAATCAAAGATACACTCAGGCCCTTTCCTAACTTCCAGCATGTGGCTCTTCATTTTATTCTAGCACATCTTTTCTGAATTGTGCTTTTACAGTTTTTCTTTTACCAGGCTGATTTAAACATCACAGGTAAGTCTGAGGCAGTCATTTCAGATCTGAAGATGGAGAACATGTGAATTCATGTGAGTGTGAAATATGGAATAACTTCAGAGCGTGCTAGCTGTATTCTACAACCCAAATATTAAACTGGTACCAAAGAGTAGTCTTTTTTCTGTGTCTCACGAAGCTGGTCGATAAAACCCTGTCTGCTTACCAAAAATCTCAGGAAGGCTCAGGTAACCTGCCACTGCAAGTAATTTTCTGCAATTAGCCCGAGATTGACAGATCCCAAGCAGAATTAGAAGGTGGCCCAAGAAAAGTAAATCTATGATCAGCTTTGGTTAACACTGGAATCACAAGGAATCAGAGAACAGCCGAGTTTGGAAGAGGCCTCTGGAGGGCATCTAGTCCAGCCCCCTGCTCAGGGCAGAGTCAGCTACTGCAGCTTGCCCAGGGCCACGTCCTACTTGGGTTTCAAAGGACTTCACAACGCCTTTGGGCAACATGTTCCAGTGTTTGACTGCTCCTTTAGTAAACAAGTTTGTTTGCTTTTTTTAATGTTTAGATGGACTTTCTTTATTTCAATTTGTGCTGACTGCCTCTTGTCCTGTCACTGGATACCACTGAGGAGACCCTGGCTCTTTTTCCTTTACTCTATTCCATCACATATTTATACAGATCGAGAAGATCACCCTCAAGCCTTCTGTTTTTGAGAATAAACAATCCCAGCTCTCTCCCCCTTAGACAGACACTCCAATCCCTTAATCATTTTCACAACATTCCATCAAATTCTCTCCAGTATGTTTTGCTGACATCACTGCAATAAAACGGGGAAAGGTCAGCTGTCGTTTAGTATTAGTGACAAGGATACACGCTACAGCGTATCTGATAAAACTCAGGCTTTGTCCTTTAACCATACACACAGTACAAAAGCACAAGACATCTTGTTATTGCCACACAAGATACTGTGGCAATAACTATCTGAGGAAAGAATTGCAATACCTGAGTATGGAAAAATACAAAGGAAAAAATATATACATCAGAATTCAAATATGTACCTAAAATTTTTGGATGCCAATCCGGTGTTAAGGAGCAGATGTTCTGCAAACCCTGACACAGTCTTTCTGAACGTGAAGCACCTTTGAACTCCAAAACCACATCAAAATTAGCATAGACCAGAAAACTGTATGACAGATGGAGGGGAAAAAAACGTTCAAAAACCAGATCTGGTGAAAGTAAAAAGAGAAAGGCCAGGAATCAACCCTTCAAAGATCATGGAGTTTATGGAATGACAACCATTGCAGCAGTTCTGATCCGCACACGTAGGAGGTAGATAACCCAAAAATATTTATACTGAACTGGACTGAAATACAACTAAGCTAGACACTTGAAGAAGCAAGAGTACCACAGGAGAATGGAAAACACATCAGTGAAGATTTAAACATTTTTTCAGCAAAATAATTGATAATGTTTATGAGATAACAAATCCACTTTTCTCATCAAATGCTATAGGTATAGCACTTGTGCAAATATCTCAGCAGCAATTCAAGGAGCCAAGCTATCAGCTAAGCCTCTTTCTCTTTAGATGTATACATCATTTGCATACAACAGAACTGAGACATTTAAGCATTAAATATCATTTCCTCATGCTGCAAATGGCTAGCACAGTGCAACAAAACACTGAGTAGGAATCAATTTAAAGTGGAAAAAATGTCACTGGCTAAATGTCAGCTGCACAATCATCAAGAAAAATTTCTGAGTGCCCTTGCAGCAGCAGAACCATCGCTGAATCAAAATAGCTCACTTTACAGTACTCCAGACAGTTAATAACTGCTTCTCAATTTCTAAGTACCTGCAAACCAGTGACCTTGTCGTTTTTGCAATCATCAGAATACCTTCTCAAAGCAGAATGCCAGTGACCTCCTTCAGCTCAGAGAGCAGCAGCCTCAAGGACTGAGTCACAACAATATTAGCCTCACCCAAACACGCTCAGGAACAGAGTGGCCTCATTTAATGTTCCTTCTCATTGTGCCAGTGCATTTGTTCATAAAGCAAATCTACGTGAACAGAGAATATGAGATCATGGCTGAAGGAAGGCAGATTCTCTTTCTTGAGAGTCTTTTCTGCAGATATTAACTCTCACTAAGCTTTAAGTTACTTTTTAACTAAAATTCTCTGCCTCATAAAAAAATCCTGTGTTCTGGTTCCCCTGGACGGTATCTTGTGGGTCTTCCAGCTCTAAGGAACCTGCAGAAATGACGACTGAAGCGTTTTGAGAGAATAAAAAACCACATAAGTAAAATTCTCAATACTCTGTCACAGTGGAGCCCAATTCTCCCCAATCATCAGCAACAGCTTGCAAGGGACATCTCCTGGCTACCTACACTACTTTGAAGCTTTTGAAAATTTTAAATATTGTGCAAAGAAAGATGCCACAGAGAGCACATCGAGTTTCCATCCTCCATGGAGTACAACGGCAGGAGTAACAATACCCCTATGGAATAACTGTTTTCAGAAGTCTGAATTTTCACCAGCCTCTGCATGTCTTTACAAAGACATGGCAGTGATGAGTTCACTGTACTTCACACAAATTGGATGACAATATTTTTATCTTTTTATCTGAAAGAAGGAAACGTGATTCTTAATGACGTTATGAACCACAGTTCAATTTAGTTAGGACATTAACTTCTCTGGAAAAGGAGGAGGGAGGCTGAGCAGTGAAAGACATGCTCTAAAATATATACATAAAGATCCACTCTAGATGAACTTGAGCAGTGACGCCGGGATGCTTGGCTATCTCACCGATTCTTGTAGCTGCATAAGTCACCTTGCAGCAAATTCATACAGCTACACAAAGCGGCTGTAAGCTGGCCGCAGAACTCGGGACGGCGACTCTTTTCAGTACACAGAAGCCTGACATCTCTTTTTCAGTCACTAACTACACCATCAGGGAACAGTTGCATCCTGCATAAATAACTATTTATTGTGTCCAAAACCAAGATAGGTACATCTGTGCATATTAATACAGTGTAACCAAATGACTTATTTGAAATACAAGACAGCAGGGCATGATTCAAGTTTGGGCCAACTCTTCTTTTACTTCACAAAACTTAAAAAAATCTTCACAGCAAGAACACTTGTCTCAAATCCCACATCATAGGTTACATTAGTTGTAGCTTTGTCATCATCTTTACTGTAGAAACCAGACTAGAGGTCTACGTTATCACTTACCACGCACAAATTAATATTTGCACTCTAAATTTACATGCATGGTTATTTGATCAGTTCATTTCAAGTTCCCAGTTGTGTCTTTTGAATAGGATCTCTTTGGAACAGGACAGCAAACTTAGCTGAATTTTAAACTAAAAGATAATCGACAGCTAACACCTTCAATGGTAAAAGATTTCGCCCTGCGTAACTGGCATAAAAAATAATCTTTTCTTCATCAGCAGCCGTTTCATAAAGAATTCCCAGCTAAATGTTAAATTACTACACCATTTACTTTGTTTTACAGGACAGATTTAACCTTTGCAAGTATTTCTCTCATATAGTCTATAGAACTGCCTGCAGCAGGTCTACACGACTGTTTCCTTCATCCAACCAAAGATGCTATCATGAGATTTTTATTAGTTTCCAGGCACCCAGCTTCTAGTAAGTACAGATTGACCAACTCTTTATTCCAAATTAATTACTTAGGAATCTTCAGGAACTGTAATACATGATGAAGTATGATATAGGCAATGCAAAAGGCTGTAGCATTAGATGTGTCCACACCACTGTGATAATCTAGTTCCTGTAAGTTCAGACACCTAACATGGGGAAACAACTTCAACACTACAAACCACTCAGAGTTTATGGTTTTGATCAGCATCTCGTGCAACACATCAGAATTTCTATTTTAGTTCTAGGTGATGCTTTTGTGTAGAATCTACACACTGAAAACTTTTTAAACTGCTGTACATTGAAACAGGCAGCAAACTCTGTACCCAACCTGATTTAAAACATTACTGATTTGATTCTGCTACGTCGAGATTCAACCCTGCAAGGAATTCTTCACAGCGAGATCTATTTAACAGCTCCATTAGTGATTCATTAGTATCTTTGCTGAAAACAGAGTCAAAGTTTCCATTCACATAGGCTTCGTTTTCCAGTTGAAAACTACTCATTAAATCCTGTATCCACTTGAGTTCCTCAGAAAGTTCTTGACTGAGAGATTCATACTGACTCTGCAGATCAGCATATTTCCCAGTTATGCCTGTAAGACTAGTGCCTACAGTCTTGATATCATCTTGTAGATGTCTTTTCAGGGATTCAATTTTACGGTATTCATACTTCAGCTGGGACAGCTTGTGCCTCACACTTTCATTCTCTTCTTTATACCAAGCTTCTTTCTCATTATAGATGGAAACCAGAGCATCAATGTCCTCCTGCAAGGAATCATGGGATGCAGCCAAAGTGCTGAAACCCCGTTCCGTAAGTGAAATGTCTTCTACTACCCGGGCAAAGCGCTCGAAGTTGATGTAGGTATTATTGGGAGGCATACTCGAATGGCACTTTATGGTGTACTCTCTCAGGCGTTTTGTCTTCAGCTGTGTGTTCTCAACCTTCTTGTTTTCTTGGACTTTTGTTTCTTCTTTCAGCTGGTGAGTCGTCAGACAGAGGAACCAAAATTACTGACCGCTTACAAGATAGTGTAGTAATGCAAAAACTCTTCACAAAGGATGCAGCCTGAACTTCCACAACACTGGGAGATTCTTTGCTCCCACAGATTTTCCTTCATGCATTTCATTAAAAGAAAACAAAAGAAAACAAACCACAAACCCAAAAACTAATGTGACAAGTGACATGCCTTCATTCCAATGTGGTAAGTGTAAATAACAGGCCCGTAATCTATTTTCATGTTAATTTTTAGCAGTTAACAAGTCTCAAAGCTATCAATATTTGTAAGAGGAAAAACAACAATGGTGAAATCACCCCAGTTTTGTTCAATGCAGAGCAAAAACTGAATTTCAAACATCCTTCATCAGTCATGCTGAGATTAGCCTGAGGTATTTTCCATAAGAGACTTATCCACAAAAGCAAGAAATATTTATGATGAACATACAGACACATAAATGTGAGCAAATCAACACACTTGGTACAGCAGTTATATCTTGAGAGAAATTATATTTTACACATTGGCTGTAGTACTCTCAACTCAAGAAAGCACTACACCCAACATGTCCGTGCAAACAGAGAAGAAGGATGGAAAAATGCAAAGCCCAGTCTAATGTAGGACACTGTAATGTGCAACAAACATCAAAGCTTTGATCCCCTCTTTTTGAAAGTTATGATAATAAAAGAAGCCATTCACAGAAATCCAAGGACTTAATCAGACGCAACCAATTTCTTTCCAGGCATCTCTTTGAGATATCTAGGGTCTCCAAGAACTTAGAGGGCAGTTTTCCATTTAACACACCAATACGAGTGAGAATATCATCTCTGCTTTGCTCACAGTAAAAAACAAAATCTGAAAATCTGGCTCTTTATTCAGCCTTACCGTTATCCATGGATGAGACAGAGCTTCCTGAATTGTAAGTCGTTTCCTAAAAAACAATAACACAATTAAAAAGTGTTGAATGGCAAATACCTTGTACCCAAGTCCATTGACCCCTATTTCTCTCAGACTCTATATGAAGCTTTTATCAAGATAATGCCAGCACTAATTCTCAAACTTCCTGTATTTGTGTAATCTTTCACAAAAAGTGATAAAATGTTACTTTGTTTTGTTCATCCCACATGCTTAGAAAATAAACTCTTTCTATACACCTTTAATAAGACTGTGAATCAAAGTTTACAACATTAATTCTATCAAAACTGTCATTTGGAACACAGTATTATATCACTCCAGGAGCTGCCACTTCCTGAAAGCAACATTTCTGGGAGGAACACTTCAAACCTAACACTTCCTGCGTTGTGGCAGTTTGGCAGCACGTTAAGAGCACTGAGAATCGAAGGCAGGAACACAGCATTGCACAGGGACTGCCTCTGTACATGGGACAAATTTCAATAGCACTGACTTGTCCTTTCTCAGAAGGAGGTTGCTAGACCCATGAAACCTCTTGTTGGACTCCATCTAATCTAGCCAATTCTAAGGCCTGAGGATTTGCAGAAGTCTTGACCAAATAGCTTGCCTCTTTCTCTCTAACACCTATTTTCTCCCCTAATGAAGCCATTAGGAAGAACTGCAATGGCCTGACATTAAAAGCAAGAAAAACTAAAAAAATGTCTGTGGTTCCTATAAACTGGGAATAAAGATCTGCATAGCTGCCACACAAATTCTAGGTGATTGCAACAATGCAGAGAGACTTAAGGAACAATTCCACTGTGAGCACATGTGAAGGTTTTTCTGCCCTTGCACCACTGGGAGCATATCCTGGGATCACGTCACCTCCTTGCATGTAGTTCATAATAGACTGAAATATTGGAGAGGTAGTTACCATAACTACAGATTTTGCACACCATTGTCAGCTCTTCACCTACATGCTATTGTTGTACCAGCTTGTCTCAGAAGAGAATTCAGTCCTGAAAGTGAAATTTAGCTGAGGAGATGTTGTCCTTTTGCTAGGGTTTCTGGGTGCAGTGGTTAACTAGGGGCACAGCAGCAGCCTCCCATCTTGCTCTTGAATGGCAATACATAGTGCAGAGAAAGCTTTACAGATGACTCGCCAGGCCACGTTTCACCAGATTTATCTTAGAGACAAATGGATCTTTCTGAATTTTTACTTACCGTGTATCTTTCACCAGGAGTTTCTGAATAAAATCTTTTGCAAGGTCACTGGTATTGCTGAAAAATTCTTCATCAAATTCATAATTCACAGCTGTGATGTTGGCGAGTGTTTCTTGTTTAGTTTCTCCAAGGAAAGGTGATGCACCACTAAGCCTAGGTAAACCGGAAAGATGAATCAATTGGAAAAATAAACGGCAGCGGTCTCCTAATGAAATTACACTATTCTCAGCACATTTGTGGATCTTGTGTTGCAGCAGCCATGTCACATGGAAAATAACAGGTCTGGCTTTGGCTCACTACATCTATGGTTATGAGTCAGACTCATCTTGGAAGTCTAGTGCAGCACTAATGTGCAGATTTTCCTAAGCGTCTCACTGAAATAATTGCTAATCAAACTAGTAAAAGCTTCAGCTGAGGAGAGTCTCTATCTCTGTGAAATGACAAACACTACTAGGCAGAAGCTTCTATCGGCCTCAAGCAGATAAAGTAGTGTTTCTATAGATTTTCTTTGGTAGGAATAGCCCTGCCCACACTGCTTTTCCATCTGACAAGTTCCCTGCACAGCGGGTTCAGCCAAGAGACCTTTCTCAGCTGGAACCAATATACAATGTGTGATCAGAAGTCAGGTGCGTGGCCTTGCCTAGAGGCCAACTCTGCAGGAGAGGTAGGGCCACACTGCTCATTAAAAGGAATCCACAAACAAAAGGACTTTAGCTGCAATAAAATCCAACAGTTTCTGAGCAATGCAAAATGTCATTCTGTTTGCACTCTGCTCCAACTGCAAGGATATAATGGAGACATCATCATAATAAAATGCTATTCAGCAATCTTTAATATTTAGACAGAAAAAGCTTTCGCCCTGCTTTGCCTACCTCTCAACTGTGACTGACGACCTTAATCTTTGATGAATATTTACCTCTGCTCCATAAAACTCAAGTGTCAGAAGAGATTCATTGCAGACTCCTCCTGCCCTGCCTTCCTTTCCCTGCCCTTCCTCCCTCCCCAGTCCACTGGGATGCTGACTTGCAAAACTCTGGTTTACAGGAAATGTTATTTATACTAAGAAAACTGATCTCATGCCTTTTAAAAAAATGTTCGGGGCTATTATTATGCTTATCTATTATGTCTAGCTTTGATTGCATATTTTCAGGATGCAGCAAGCTCAAAACAGGACTGCAGCAAACTCCTGGGATCTAAACAGAGGTTTTGAATACTAAACTGCTAGCTTACATGATCGCAGAATCATAGAATGGTTTGGGCTGGAAGGGCCCTTAAAGACTATCTAGTCCCAGCCCCCCTGCCATGAGCAGGGACACCTTCTGCTAGATCAGGTTGCTCAAAGCCTCATCCAACCTGGCCTTGAACACCTCCAAGGGCATCCACAACTTCTCCTTCAGAATAGACCTTTTACCCAGTCTGTATTGCCACTACCATGTTGACTGTGAATTTGGGGGTAAGCAGAAAGTTAGATGGGACCGCCTGGGCCATTCATCCCAGTGCCCAGCCACTGCATGTGGTTTTATCCACAGAATAAACATTTGAGTCTACAATCATACAATGGCACCAAAGCAGCTGACACAGCAAGGCAGCAAGAGTGAGGTCCTCCAGTTGTCTTTGATGCAGTAAATTTCAACCCATAAGCCACACTCAATCTCACTTCTTAACAGGTTTTACATACTCCCTTTTAAACTTTTGTTCCATTTCTGTTAGCCACAAGCAGGCACCTCACCACAGACCATGGATGTTGTTTCAAAACTCAAGCTTGGAAACCTGCCCCTAGAGCCTTGGTTTCTTTTCCCTTTCCCAAAACTGTGCCATGAAGTAGCTATAATTCCACCTTCTGGCCCTTTGCCAGAAGCCAACGCCACCAGTGCTCTATTCTCCTCTGAATGATTTCTTTTTCTCTTTAGGACTCAGTATTGAGTTCTGGAAAACGGGAGGATTCTCAAATTCTAACACCTAATGCAAACGAGTTCTGTCATATCAGGACTCTGTGCCTGTAAACATCTAGCAGCAGACTGCAGTAATAAAGCCTTCGCCCTTACAACCCAGTGAATCACTCCACTGGTTACTGAATTAAGAACTTGTAGGCATTTTGATCTCTACACCTGATGCTGGCATCCATTTGACTGCTGGCATGTTTGCTAAAGTGGGTGGTATCATTGAACACACCCCATTTATGCAGAATTCTTCAGAACAAAAGGTTTTAAAATTAACAGGCAATACTAGTTAAAGGTATACAAATTTCTAGTACATAGCATGTCAGGCAAGCTGACCCCTCCCATAAGAAAAAGCATGTTTGTTTTTTTTCTTATCATTCATAGGGAGACAATTTGCAGCCTTAATTACTATGGCAATCATTAATAGCCACCTGGGTAAAACACATCTCCTACACTGGATCCAGTACAGAAACCCGCTTCATTATTCTGCCCCGGGGACAGAACTCTCAATGCAACAGAAAAACGTCAAGAGCACCTGGCTCTGTGCAGCACTGTAATCACATGGGAACTATTCCCACGTGCTTATCTTCAACTCCTAAGTTCTCCTCTCATCATTTATGAACACACATAAACAGCAATTTACAAAGTTTAATGTCCTATCAAGTACACATGTCACTGAAGACCAGAGAGCTGATAAAAAGCAAGGGTCTGGACAATGTTTTAAACCCCTTTACCTGAGTTTGGGCTCAGCCACTATCCCTACCTTTCTCTGCACCACAAGACAGAAGCAGATTTGTTGTACTCAATCTGACTTCTCAGACCATTGTTCTTTTACAGCTTTTAGGGTCTTGGGTATAGCCCAAGAGTGGATTTAATTCCACTACGTTTATTTTCCACACTGAAAGGACAATCCCTCCCCTTCAAGCCTCCATACTTGTACTGAGTCCTGAGCAGTGTAGTGCAAATCCCTCTAACACCGGAGTGCACCAGTTTGGCAGCAGGTTAGTCCTCTGAGTATCATAAGGAACAGAAGCAGCCCAGGGTAGGAATGTTAGGGTGAGGCATTACCAAGCATGAAGTTTCCACCATGCTCTGCTCCTCAGTGGTCACAAGAGCTTGATTTCAATGGAATCAGTTAGGTCCAAGGATCCCTGACCACTTCTGTAATTCTCATATCAAACCAGAGGAAAGAATTCTTGAAGAAACAAGCGCTGTCCCCTCCACTCTATGCATCCATTGTCACACAAGCAGTTTTGCAAATTGTCAAGCTACATCTTAAAACTCTCGACTGCTTGTCTCCAGTATGCCCACGGAACCTCATTCCTTTTAGAGTCTGAGCCAGTCATAATTTCATACTTTTATTTATTCATCACCAGTTAACAAACTTTCCTTCTAAAAAGTATCTTTTTTTTTCCCCCTTGTGCTTACTGATTGCAATGATATTCCCAACCAGCCTTTGCTTTACTAGCATTGTTAACGAGCCCTTTTTTCTCCTGTGACATGAATTTTCACTTCTCAGGGTCAACTTCTCTGCTCCTATCCCAGCTTAAAGTTATCTTTTTGATACAGGTGACCTTATTTATGCATAGTAATTTAGACTGCTACATTTACAAGCAAATTAAAACTTCCCTGTTTTCACCTGAAATAACTCACCTTGTAAATGGTACTATTACACTTTCTGTTGCTATTCTCTCCACATGCTGGTAGCTCATAGCCATTCTGTGAGCAATCAATACTCACCTGGGCTTTTCCATCCTCTATTTGGAGCTGACAAGGTCCCATAAGAAGCAGAAATGCCCAGTGATGCTAGAGACATTTGTTCTTCATCTGCTCAGAAAGCCCCTATTCTTTTACCCTTATTTTAAACTTGAAAAGGCTGCAGGATAACATTTACCCATTAGGCACACCCCACGTGTGCAGCTCCTTTCTTCAATGACTACAGGGAAGAGCTATTCCGTACTAGTGCAACAGAGCTTTAAGAACACTTCTACAGGAGGGAATCTATTGTACTCACAGTATGTAGGTGATGACTCCTATGCTCCTGAAAAACAAAGGAGATTAATTGCAGGGGTTCTACGTGACCTGTATTCTTCTTAATGTACACAACACAAAAAAGTCAATAGCAGCTGCTCTACAGGCAGGAGAGCTGTTGCGGCTTCAGATAACTGCTAATCTCTCTCAAAGAACAGCGTTTCAGGGAAAACGTGAATTTTACATGTAACTTCAAGTAACGTGGATATTTTAAGTGTCTTTACGTGTGTCTACTCTAGTAGGTATTTACTTCAATAAACATGAGAAATACAAAGAAATAGAATCAAGGATGTTTTATTTGGGGCAACGTCTTTTGCCTGCCTTCTCAGCAGGTCAGATTAGTACGCAGGTCTCCTCTGCATGCAGTGCTTTTATAAATAAAGCTGTCACAAGCACTGCAGGAACATGTTTTCTTTTAAGAGTGCTCCTCTGCAGTAAACAGTGGCAAACTTAACTCTATAACTGCCATCACTAAAGTTTTGCATTGCAATTTTGCAGAAATTAAATGCTTATCTTTTAATTAAAAAGAACATATAAAAACTGAAAGACAGAATAAAGAGTTATTAACTGCACTTAAGCTTTTTGTTTTGTTTTGGTTTTAATTTGCTGCAGTGGAATGGATTCTATTCAGAGCAAATTGGGAAAAAGTAACAGCAGAGCAATGTGGAAAAAAAAACTGTTCCAACTTACCACATATCTGCAGCTAGTCCAAGTGGTTCATAGTTTACTATTTCTGGAGCTGTAAGAAAAATTTAATCAAACATCAGCAACTGAGGTAACAAATTTAATCAAACATCAGCAACTGAGGTAACAAATTTTTACCAAGCTGAGTTGAGCAGCAGGTCAAGAATTACCAAGAGGGAGAAAGGGTGGGTGGGAAAAGGAAAGGTAGTTACAGGATGCACTGTCTATAGTTTTATAGCCCTGATAGGAATTCAAGTTCACAGGTGTGCAAAAGAGATTATTTAGAGAAACTCGGAGCACAATGCAACTCAAGGATAAGGGTAAAGCAGGTATTATATACTAATTACAGTGCAAATTATAAATAACTATTTCACCTCCCTAGGATACTGCTACCCCTAAGAGTATGAGCTATTGTTTTGTTTTTAACCAGTGCCATTAAAGCTTGTTTCTAATGGCCAGCCAGAAACAGCCCTTGGGCAAGAGACTGAAATTACATGCCAGACTACATTGCTATCCATGTCAAACCCTATGATCTTTATGAGAAACATTTCCTGATTGGAAAACATCCCCGTATAAGACTGCATGCAAGAGAAAAGACCAAGGTGAGGCAATGAGATGAAAAAAGGTGTCTGTAATGGTTGTGTTTATCTGGAACACAAATTACATCCCCTCCCTGCCCCTCAACACCCAACCCCAAAACCTCTACTTGAAACTAGTAGAAAGGAGTAGGAATAACCTAAAATTTGAGCAAGATGGATTAGAATTATGATCAGTGAGTAATAAAAAGAGAATCAGGTGGAAAAATGTAAGGGGAGGTGATGGTTTTGTCCTCAACAGGTGCACAGTGTGAGGCAGTTTCATCTAGAAAGCAAGGACAGAGATAACCATGTACTGCAAGGCAGAGCACTTACTTGCCCCAGGCAGCAAGTAAAAACTTCTAATTTTTATCTGCAGGGTTTCACAATCTCAATCCTGAATTTACATCTCTAAATACTTATTTGGCAGCAACCTTCTCTCACAGGAGTAGCCCATCTGGTTTATGGAAAGCACCTTTCACTTATTCCAGGAAAAAAATAATAAACCTCTAGATTTAGGTCACTCTGATACACATAAGATTGAAACGACCTCTATCCCTTAAGTTTTAATCTTGAAAAGTTTCAACTTCCTCGTAGAACTTGCAATATGAGACAAAGGAACGGATCACTCACTAACCTACAAATTCTGGAGTTCCAAAAATGTTTTTAAATTCAACTCCATCTTCTATTTTGTGAGCCAGGCCGAAGTCAATGAGTTTGATATGTGGAATAGGGATATTCTTGTCTAGAAGCATAATGTTTTCAGGCTAGAAATAAGAAAGAATAGATCTTTGTTATTATAATAGTAATATATTGGGAAAGTAACAGAGTTCTCAACTTTTTTTTTCCACATACACAGCACTATAGAACAAGAAATACATATCTATGCCTAACCATTTACGATTTGTTCTTTTGATAAAGGGATGACAACTGGGAAATTTGACATCATTGAATGGACCAGAACTTCATAAAAGCAAAGTAAATCTAAGAAGAGCATTACTTTCATTCCTTTAGTTTTATCTCATGCAAAATCTGCTTTTTTCTATCTTCCTGTTGACTTATTTTCTTAATGATGCTTATTGCCAGGATGAAAGCAAGATAACCCTTGCTTTCACAATGTGACAGAAGTTTTTTCACACAACTGTATGTAGTTCCCTAATCTGACAAAATACGCCACTAGATTATCAGCCCAGCAGCATTATCATATAACATGAAGTGGAAGCTCAGTTTATCTTGTCCTCTATTAAAACAGAGAGTATACCCACCTCCCGCAGGGCCTCCTGGGAAGATGTCACACCCTGACCCTACGGATTTGCCTCAGTTACAACAACTGGTGCACACATAACAGCAGCTGGCAGGTAGCTGAAGCAGTGCAGATACCTGCTGCAGAGACAGAGTGCCATTTCTTGATCCTGAGGGAGAGCTGCACCACTGAATATTTTGACTGACCGCAATTTTACTGATCTGTTCTTGGAATTTACACTGGGAAACCTCACTATTTCTGCCCAGCTGTCCCTATACTGTATTGTAACCCACTGGAAGATGTCTTATCAAATCCTTCTTGAGGGATTCTAGTCATAGCTGAACCTACTTAGAGAAGGAAAAATGTTCTTCTCTATGAGGCTAAACTCACAGCTGCAACAAGGCCAGGAGAGACCTAGGACGCACTATCTGAACAGCTCAGAAAATGGAAAGAGTTGGGATGAGAGGTCCTAACTCATATACGATAGCAAGCTATTAAAAGAACGTGTAGCATTTCTCACAGCATTGTTGGGAGAAGCTGAAGCTAGAACTGTGAAATTAAAGCTAACTTTTTCAACCACAGACATTGACTTTCTTTACCAGATATAACGGATATTTCATAAACTTATTTCTTCAACTACATTTCTCAGTCTTAGTTAATCCCTACCATGGCCCTATTGCACAGTTTTCAGAGTAAACTATGGGTTCAATTTATCTCCCATGAAGAGTTTTAATGCATTAATTTGTCATAACTTAACCATAAGCTCAAGAGCAACAGTGAGACAGTTTGATTCCCTGCTGGCAGCTGTCTGGCCTTTTCACAGCAGATCCTAAGATGGAAGCAGCTTCTGCTAACAAATACTCTCAGTCAGAGCTGCACTGGGAAAGAGAGCATATGAATAATTTATTGTCATAGTCATTGGACCAAGAAAATTTTAGTCTCAGGCTAACAAGTCTGGTTTTATTTCACAGATCTAGGGCATATGTTTTCAGCCCAGATACATGACGTAAGCTTGTCTAAAGCAGACAGAACAGTCTGAAATGGCAAAAAGTCACAGTCACTTCCTCTTGGACTGTTTTATTCCTTAGGTGGTGTAAGTCATTGTAGCTCCACTGCAGTCGGTGGAGCCCTGTTAAGTGACGAGATAATTATGAATCATCCTCTATCTAATCAGACCACTGCTTAAAAATACACATCTAATTTAACACTAGCAAAACTCCGAACCCAGTCCTATAAAACCCAGGAGAGTTACTCTGTATGTTTTAGGTCACTTGATATTCACTGCTAGTGAAATGATTCGTTATCTTTAATAATCTTTATAATCCTTTCTGATTTCTATCTTGCATTTCTTGTAACATCTTCATTGACCACCTGACATTGCTGGTATTAAATGTCAAAATTAGTAGCTAGGAGTCAGTATAGAAAAAGTTACACATACATTCTCACATTAACTTCATCCCACTGGATATTACACTGTTTCCTAATACACAGTGAAAAATTTCAATTTTTGGCTTCTGGATTCATGTAGTAATTTCAAAATCAAATGTACATCCTTTCTGTGCTCACACATCTCCTACACTTTTTCACATGCACCCCATGAAGATTTGGACGGTAGTTTGCTAACCAGTTTCTTAGGTTAATGTGTTTTGCCACATTTGCAGTGACTACATGTATTCCATTAACGCTGACTCAAGACCAAGCAATTTAAGACAGAGACAGCATTAGGCACACCTTCAGCACAAGAAATCAGCATATATATCCTGAGAATCTGGGAGAAGTCTATTTATAGTACACGCGTAATTAGTAATAAACTAACCCGTATTTAAAGTTAGGACAAGAAACATGTAATCTAGCGGTACAGTTTCTTCCTTTTTCCTCCATTTTAAACCAGTTCCCTCCTCTGTTTTATTCTACTTTCTCCCAAGCGCACTTTGAATGTACTTCTGGAAGCAGCAAAGTTCGAGGCAGCCAGTTTTGTAGCTGTGAGTCTGCTATTGAAAAAGGACTTTCTGCTAGTCTCAAGAGTTTCATTCCCAAGGACAACAGACTCCTAGCTTCAGAGAAGCATGTTCACCTAGGTAGACCACAATCAAAATGAAAGAGACACAGTCTTTTGTGTATTGTCTAGGTCAGTTGTACTGATATCATCAAAGACCAAAGCTACAGATGTCACCCGATATGGTAGGGCTGCTTTCAAGGCCCTAAGCAGCTAAGGAAGCAAGAAGTCTTTTTGTTAACCAAACTGCACTGGATGACACATACTCCTCATGCAGTTCTAAACACAGTGGGGAATGGAAGCAGCAATAGTTGTTTGTAGCTGGACCTGGCCCTCCTCTTCCCAAAAATGCATTTCTTCTGTACATCATTCTAATTAGTTTATTATTATTTTTTTTAAAACAGCATGCCTTGGATGATACCACAAATGCAAACAGCTGAAGGATGAAGACTTACAATTTATTTTTCTCAGTCAATAAATACATAAGCTCATCCAAAAGTTACCACAGGCTTGATAAAGGAGATTGTCTTCCTTGGAGCACTCAACTGTGAAGGGCATTTAAAGTGGTCTTACCTATTATTTTAGTCATGTTATCAAATATATATACCTAACAAATTGTAGAAGGTACAGACCGTCACTAAAGAACAACATAACAGTAAGTCTAAATCAGCACCTTTACCTTTAAATCAAAGTGAGCAATTTTCTTAGAGTGAAGGTAATTCACACCATCCAAAATCTGCTTGATGAATCTGGTTGCTTCCTCTTCACTCAAAGACTCCTTCTGTGCTAGGAAATCAAAAAGTTCTCCTCCAGAAACCCTGCAAAACACACCAGAAAACATCCTGTTATCTACTGCATTGTAAGACATAAAACAAACATGAGCACAAAAAACTAAAGCAGCAAAAAACCTCCATATAGTTAGAAAAAGGCCATTTTTGCAGACAAAAACTCAGAGTTTTGCGTTCTGGTCCCAGGTGTGCTGAAACTTCATTCTGGCTTCAGCTCTCACCCCTGTAAATTAAGGACTAGCTTGCCCTAACTCATGGGTGCTGCAAGGTTTGATTCATCAAGGATTATAAAGGACCAAAAAGAGGTACATTGTTTGATGAATCTACAGACATGTACATTTCAATAGGTAGACTTTGATGTTAATCACTTCAACTGCTATTTGTCAACTTTTCGGTTTGGATGAGATAGAGGAAATAGAACAAGTTGCAGTAGTCAACAACTGTTAAAGAATTACTTCGCTTATCAGTTGCCATCAGAAACATGAGGCAATAAGATCTGCCAACAGAACCTCTTTTCTTTCCAGAACAGCCATTACACTGTTCTAATACAGATTCTTGCTTGATATAATTGATAGGAAAGCATTTGTTTTGAGCTGAATTTTTAAAAAGAAAGCCAACTGTAGCAGCTTGGAAGGCGTCTAAAATTGTCTTCTCACATCAAGGAAGTGCTATTAGTTACTATGAGTTTTCATCAAATTTGAAATACATTCCATGCATATTTAGTATGTAAGACTTCTATTTTCATTTTTGTGCTTGTATTGAGAGCTCCAGTGCTATTTTCCTATGTATTATGAAACAGGATGATCTAGATACTGAATTGGGCACTGCTGGCAGTTGTTATTCATAATTATGCTTACATTTATTGTTTCCAGTTCACACTGTCATTGATATTGTTGACTTAGTCAAATTTACTACTGGGGGCACTCGCAAAGCGGTTTTTGCTCTTGGTCTCAGGTGTACCACCCATCTGTCCTCACTATTCAGAGTGCAAGCACAAGACTTGAGAGCTCCAGCGGTCATTTTGGAAAACAAGCTTTTGGCCCTGTTCTCTGATGAAATACTTGCAAAAGAACCGGCAGGTTCGAATGCTTTGAGTTAACCACGCGCCGTGATTCACAGACAAGTTAGATCACACTGTGCACTGCAGAGGTTCTTTCGTGCAATCATTCCTCCGACCCCAGGCTCCCACACAAGATTGGTGGTGACAAGATGGTGATTCCCCACTCTGCCTCTTTCAGAGTAAACTATTGTGAACAGCTACAAAAACTGCAAAGAAAAGTCAACTGCAAACGAGAATGTGTCAAAAGCCACAAAGACATTGAGCTTATTTCTTAGCTTCTACTGTTGCTGTGGGTGACAGCATACTTTGCTGTTTCAAAGGCAGAGATTTACACAGGGCCTATTGACATGAGCATTGATTACTGGATATTTTTTCACAGTTTCCACATAGTCAGAAACTTTTAAGCAACACGAGGCAGGACACTTCACCTGAGCAGGTCACCTGATGCTTTAATTGTAACAACTAAATGGCTGGTAAACAAAAATCAGCTTACATGACCCAGGAATATGTTGCAACTGCTGTTTCTGACTGCCGTGTCCTCCTCCTTATTAATTTCAGTTACTCAACCTGAGAGACTCTTACTTGGTCTCCAATTTTCTTTTTAGGTGGCACATATCAAGTGTATCAGCACAACCATCAGCCTTGCTGGACAGGTTTTGTTTTACGCCGTGCATTTCAGGACCCTGGGAACACTGTCTCCTTTCCACACTGTAGTAGGTCTAGGGGCCTTTGTTTGTGAGTTTAAAAATTATTAGAGCTGACTCAACAAGCCAATAAAGAAATTTGTAAGTAAAACCTTGTAGTCTGTTGGTGAAATCTGTGTACAAAGAGCAGGCAAGTCCCATTTCCTTCATGACTTCTATTCAAACTGCACTTAAGCAATTACCTCTGGCAGGCACTATGGCCCTGTCCTCAGGAAGCCAACCTTACTGAGACAATTTCTTGTACTTTTCTGCAATTTAACCATGCAGGCACACTACTCTCTCTTCCTCTTCTACCCTGTAAAATCTCCTCAGTGATTGTTCCTTAAGGTGGACTTTTTAATCAGGACTAAGAATGAAAAAGTTCCCCCTCAGGCCAGGCCAACAGCCCATGTAGCCCAGCCTCCGAGGTACCGAATACAACATAAAAAATAAAAAAGGAAACCAAAAATAGATTCAGAGGGTCTGAAGTCCCTCTGTTACTTTATCAGCAAAAGACTTCCTCTTACAACAACTGCATGACTATTTCATTTGCCGAAGGTCAGAGATTAGCATACATTACAAACACTCCATTAACCTCCAGTCTCTTGTGGTACAGCCTAAGACATTAGCCTAAGCTGCAGAGATCTTAAAAGAGTAATCTAAAGAAAAATTCAGTAGAAGAGATGTGATGATTTCTCATTAAAAAGACTCAGGCTTTAAAAACAAGTTTGAGTAAATGGTACAAAGAGAGCGGTAAGCAGTTTAGTGCAGGATCATTCGTACCCAAATTATGCACCTGAACTCAGAGAAACACTCAGGCAGAAGAGACTAGCAAAAAAAAAAAAGCCAGCCATTATGGAATCCCAGAAAAATAGCAATTCAGCACCAACTCCTTTGCAGTAAAACACTCATAACTGCACTACAAGTTACATTTGAGCATCCAGGGAAGTGTGGTTTTTAAAGCAGCACCACCTGTAAAAGAGCAAATGCCCCTTTCTCAAAGGACCGTAGGTTACAGAAAAATTCCTTCCTCTGGTTCCATTTCTTTAGCTTTCATCACATCACCTTATACCCCTGGCAAAGAAAGAAGCAAGCAAATTATAACTTTGCTCTTCCTTCAAAGTCCAATAAAAGACAAACATCAGTGCTGCCTTACTTCTTGGAAACAGCTCTTTACTTTGCGTACACAACATTGACACTCACCAGTAGAGGAGACTGGCGTATCACCCAAACCTGCCTTTAGGCTGCTTTTGTTGGGGCGAAGCAGACTCAAGGCAGGGCCCAGGAGACAGAGAAGAGCAAGGTCACAAAGAGCTGTGGAGAGCGTATCCCTGAACACTGTGCACAGGAAGGGCAAACCATGTACCTGCCGACCTGCACACAACAGCAGCAGACTCAGCAATGCTCTTCCTGCTCTTGAACACAAGAAATGGCACCTGTAGAACCAACCCCTGTGTAAAGAAGAGACAGTCTTCCCTGTGCCAGCACAGTGAGCTTGGGAGAGGGCCAACATTTTAGCCAAAGCCTCTTCTAAACATCAAGGTAGCTTCTTCAATTAATCAAGAATACTGGGGACATTTCTTTTGAAGCTGAAGTCCGCTATAACTTAAAGTAAAATTAATTGGCCAGGTGCTGTGATGCTTATTTTGACAAACTGCAGGGAGTATGAGACACTGATATCAGTGTCAGGAGGAGAGATCATCTGTTTACAGACAGAATTTAATTATCTTTATCAGCAATTATCATCATCCTCAATTTGTATACAGCAACTGAATGCAGTGGCCTTAATCAGGTCAAAACTCTGTTGCATCCAGCCTTTTCCAAGTGCTATGGCCTTTTCCAAAAAGCTATGGCCTGATGACAGGATACACAAAAATGTATCAGACCATGTGAGGACAGGAAAAAGCAGAAGGTAAAGAAATGGGAGGTTGTTTTAGCACAAAGTAGCTGCTGGTCAGAAAAAGCGATCTCCTTTTCTGTCTTCCAGTGCACAGCTACAGAGACCAACATTTGGCCACAGACATATACTTAAAAATTAACAGATGCTTATCATCACTCATATGCCATCTACCAGCAGTCACATTAATCTCCCGTAATGCTCCCTGGCCTAAATGCTGGCTCCCCTGGAAAGCCAGCGGTTCTTTCATTTCACTCAGGGAAGGGATCAATCAAAGCCTCATTGCCTGGATTACACGCACAAGGTCAAGGCAGGTGCCCTAGAGAACATATGGTCTACATAACTTCAGCCACAGTGTCTCTGTATTTCCTGATTCACACATACAGAAAAATCGCATCATTTATTCACTACCTAAAAACTGCAGCAAGTAGAAGACCTCAGGGTGCCTCCTTGCTTACAGCTTTACTTGACTACCACAAATGAATAAAGGATATGTCATCTTCTGCACAGTTCTTCTAAGACTCAGAGCTTGGCAAACTAGGTGGTATTGATTCCACAAAAGAGCAGGACACAGCCCAAAAAAGATTAAACTGATGCCTGTCTTGCTTCATACATCACAAAGTTCATCCCCTTAGGCCAAGACCATGCATCTTGACCAACAAAGCTCCATTTATTAGAAGAGCTCCTTCCATTCCTGGCTCTGATGAGTATGACCGCACAATTGTCCTCTCTGCTTTACGTGACAGCATTCAGGTTTCCCCTGGTTCTCAGTGAAGATTAAGAAGGCTGAGCTGCACAAATACATGTAGATATAAAGTGAAATAATTTTATCATGGCGAATTACTTTTTGACCCAATAATTGACATTAGGCAGCTGTAAAATTTTCTTGAAGTGACTCTCAAACTTATACATCAACAGTAACACTATTAAATTTGGGGATATTCAAATGTCCTACAGAATTCAGCTGCAGGTGCAACACAGAGGTACAAGCGATCTTCCTGTGACCTCCCAGCCACTACAGGTCAAATCTTACATGCATCAGAATGGCTGGCAAATAGCACTACAAACAGAAAGCCAAACAGCAGGAGGCAACTTAGGTCCCTTCCTGACTGCACAGTGAAGAATTTGCTTCCCTAGGGTGAGCAGGGGAAGTTGAAATGAATTATAGGATCTACCTAAAGTAATGACAATTACCTATAGCATCTAACACTTTGGAACATTCAGTCTGTCTGATAGATCAGTTACTTTAATCATCCTCCCTCGATATTGCACACTAGTAATCGTGAAAACTGCTGCAGCTGGTCTACATGTTCTGCTTTAGCTCTGCAAATGCAACTCTTCATTCTTTTGGGATATCACTAGTCCCTTCTCACAAAACCTCTACTTCAGCCTCTCCAATATAAGCGAAGTCACATAACCAGGAATAACTCTCCCAACATCATTTTGAGTCGTATTGGGTTGCAAGGCCAGGAGGCAAAAACGTCAGGTTTTCTCACTTCCTTTCAGTCAATAAGATTAAATACAGACAAAAACATCAAAGGTGACTCCCTGAAATGCAAACTTATGTTCCAACTAAGCAAAGACTCCTTAGCCAAGGCTTTGTTAAGATGATTCCTGACCACTCTTCCAGCTTCCCTGGGCTGTGCATTTATTTTTCCAGGCAGGGACATGCACATGTTCTGCAGAACAAGCTGTTGTCCCCTCAGCTCGGAGAAGCTGCTTCTAGCTGGTTTTAAGTCTCTTCTCAAACAGCACAAACCAGTTTGCATTACATAGCCAATATGTAGTCTGACTATCCAGTGGGTCACGATGCAGGGGGTGAGGCTACAGCAGTCCACAGATCCCCTGGCTGGGAGCTTCACTTGTCAGCAGAACCTAAATTGCAGGGGTTTTGCCCCACCACATGGTGGAACAAGAGAACAGTGAGTAGCTCTTCACTCCCACCCTGCTACTATTCATCCTTGATAGTCAAAGTCTAGGGATTAAAAAAATCCTCTTCCCTTGCCCTCCTACCCTCTTTTCCCCTAGTCTCCTTGAAATGAGGAAAAAACAGGAGTAGTGAGAATGGTTGCAAATTTTGTAAAGGACTTGAAGGCTTCACATGCATTGGAAGAGATGGAAGCAGAAAGAAATATGAAACGAGCATTCAGTGGCCATTTGTACTTCTCCAAGGTTCATGTCAGGTCAGCACTAGGCAGACATGAGGTAATCCCTCTGTTCGTAAACTGTTTTCAAGTTGACAACACTCCCTGGCTCAGTAACAATGGCCTCAGCTGATGTTAAGGTGCACCTGTATCCCCAGGGCACATGGATGAACTGGGGGGGTCTGTTTACCAGCAACCTCATTCAATTCTCCTGCCAAGATCTGCAGGACCTGAGAACACAACAGCTCCTCTATGTTCTAGCTGCCTCTGCAGCCCTTTCCGGTTCCTATTTACCTCATCCTGCCCCCGAGGATAGGACGTCCCCTTACTCACAGCTCAAGGATGAGGACCACATCCGTCTTGTTCTCATAGATGTCATGCAACTTGATGATGTTGGCATGCAGAATCTGCTGCAGAATAGTAACCTCCCGTTCAATTTCCTCCCGTCTCACTCCGCGACGGCTGGCCCGACTCTGACGTTTTTTAATGAACTTAGCAGCATACTCCACACCGGTGCTTTTTTCTCGACATTTCTTCACTATAGCAAACTGGCCACTGCAAGGACAAGAAGATAACAGAAATTCTCTTAAAGCTTTCATATAATGACGGCTTCCCACATAAGCCATTCATACACAAAGTTTGGTCCTGCAAACCCTGAGCAACTGTGCTAACCATACAACCTTGTTCTTGGTACAAGAGTGAGGACTGTCAGCATCCTGCAGTTAAAGTCACTATAGCATAACAAGGCAGCCTCCTGCTGTGTCTGAAATTTAGCAAAACCAAGCAGTATCTGACAAGGAGGGAGGACAGATGTTACAATCTCTAAAATACAGTTCATGTTTAAATGAATAAGATCTGCCTCGAAAGGTTCAAATTACCACTCCTTCACTGGGTAATGCCTAAGGCATCCAAGTCTGCAACACACTACCGGATGTTGTGAAAGGACATGCATGCATTCAAGTATTTCCCTTCAGAATAATCTCTCAGGAAAGAACTCAAAGGACTGATAACCCTTTGGAAACGTACTGAAAACAGTAACCAGTTTTCAAATAAGAGAATGGTTTATTCATATTTCTGCACTTCACTTGATAATTTAGCTGTAAATGTAACTAGAGTAAGTGCCGCTTTCTCACCGCACTTCAAAGACTAAGAATTTCCCACTGGACCAAATAGTAAAGTGGCTTCATTAAAGTTTAAAAGGCACATAGCTGCCATTTGCCAATAAAATTTTCCTCACTGTGGTTCCTAAAGTAAGAAATTCCAGTTCCACTGTAATATTTCCCCTTACATATCCTAAAAGGGAAAGACTTGGAGGTCAGATGATTAACTCAAATAATAGTAACCCTGCAGGTTGCAGCCTTATGTCAGTGGTGGGAACCTTTCAAGACAAGACAGTCGTGACTTTTCAACAGGAAAGCAGGGTTCTTTGCTCTTCTTTGTGTGAGCTTTTCTTTCTTCATCATGCTCTTGAGAGGCACTGTTTGAACCTAGAGAAAGCATCTTCTCCACAGAGTTGATGTTCCCTCCTTCTCAGTTGTCTTCAGAAAAAATAACTGTAATCAAGCTGAGTGATGTCTTATCAAAACTAAGAAAGGCGGTCTGCAGCTGTCCTGGTTTCACTGGGATTGATCAGAAAATTGGTTCTATGATTCTGAGAAGCTACATTTCTAAACTAAGCTGCATTTTTAAAACGACTGCAGCACCCAATTCAGTGAGAACAAAGTTGGTAAGACCCTTTGTTTTAGTTTGCAGTCAGCCGTGGTATGCGGGTATCTATAGTGATCAAAGTCTTTTCAACTCCGTTTTGCTAATGACACAGCTGTCCAAGAACCTGGGGGGAGCATGACCAGGGCATCTGACACCTAAATTGGCAAATGGGTATTCCATACCATGTAATGTCATGCTCAATATAAATTGGAAAGTTTGTTGGGGACTGTCTTTCTCCCTCATTTTCTTCTCTCTTCCTCAATGGTCACTGTCTCTGGATGGTCTCCCTTGTCATTCTGCTCCCAAGGCCTACTCTCTTCCGGAATTGTAGTTTCGGGACTTTCCTGCTCTGGGATTGCTAATCAGGAACAGACTGGATGTTGGTCAAGGTATAGTGAGCAGCTGCACCGTGTATCACTTGTCTGTATATATTATTATTGTTATCATTACTGTTTTCCATTTTATTTTATATCAGTTATTACGCAGTTCTTATCTCAATCCACAAGTCTTCCTTCCTGTTCCCAATTCCCCTCCGCAAGTGCGGAGGGGTCATTGGGTAACAGAACAGCTGGCTATTGTTTAGCCCTGGATACAGGCTAAACGTAGACAGCAGCTAAAGCAGGATTTGAGTAATAGGAATTCTACATAAGGCATGAATGTGGAATGAAACAATGATTATTCAGAGGATCCTTTTGCTCATCGCATTTGGAAGGGACAAGAACAACTGTGTTGTACCTTAGAAATGCGGAGACTGGTGATGAGCAGCGTTCCTCAGGGTCAGTATTAGGGCTGGTGCTGTTTAACATCTTTATCAGCGACACGGACAGTGGGATTCCGTGCACCCTGAGCAAGTTTGCTGACAACACCAAGCTGTGTGGTGCGGTCGACACGCTGGAGGGAAGGGATGCCTTTTACCTCTCCATAACTATTAGTGCAGACCTGAGCATAATGATGTGTAAAGTACATAATAAAAGGGGACACTGAATTTGAGCTGGTGGAAAACAAAGAGCTAGTGGGGAAGTGTTGTAGTGGCAAGAACTGTCAAGGAAAATTACTCTAGCAGCAGCATTTGGAGATGGTGTTTGATAAGTCTCCTGGCAGGCTGCTGCTGACAAGTCTTGGAGCAGTATCTCTGCAACACAACCCACTAGAGTATGAATGGAAGGGAAAGTTGTCAGCTTTTTTTGAGGCACTAGTTAAAGGACCTCATAGCCCAACTGAGTACATCTACAATTTCAAGTAGCAAGAACAGTTTATTACCACCCTAAACCTCCTCTGCCAGAAACCTGAAGCTGAGGGTTACTTCTTGTTTATTTTTCCACTGCCACATTACAAGAGAGATTTATCAAACTCCTTTTTGGCAGAGAGAAAGAAAAAGACAACCACAGAATCCAAGTTGCAAATAGGCCACGTATGTATTCTTACAAACACTTCCATGGTGGGGAAGCACACCAGGTAGCTGGAGAATTGGGCCTATGGATAAGGTCATGCACTTCAGTCTGCTTTCTTTAAGTGTACAATGCATCTTGCGATAACAGTGAGATGAAAAACTGGCAAGCTGTAAAGACAGACCAGGACTTTAGTTAAAAACAGTTTGGCTAAAACTATTGCTTCATGGAAGCTGCCTTTTGTTTTGGCAACTAGATATCAAAAAGGGGAGCATAAGCAAGAAGTGGCTGTTGGGCGATATCTGCAGAACCTCAGTGATTTAGAGGCAAGGAACCCCAGCTCAAGCCCATGCTCCGCTCTTTTCATATTAATTGGAATGAAAAACACAGAAACTAAGTCTACCATGTGCACTCCATATCCTGCCAAGCATTCCTTAGTCAGAAAAGGCTCAGGTTTTATTAATGACTATGTGATAGAATCATACTTTTGCAAAAAAAACACCCAAAACATTTCACTGCATTTCCATCAAGGAGCAGAAATAAATTTGAAAGTTCTAGGAAGCTATACGGCAAGGAAGCTACAGTCAACTACTAAATAAGGCAGGAAAGCCCTCTGAGAACAGTGTAATCAAATAGCTACCCTTGCCTGGCACGTGTAAAGCCTAACAGGTATGCAAGATCCTACCACCAAAAGAACTATCTTACCCAAGCCCTTGTCTCCTCAGATTCACAAGTCTCTACTTATGTCCAACCACTTTACAAACAGACAAAACAAGGCAGTGACCTCCTTTACATACCCAAGAGCAGCCCCGTTCTCTCCTGCCACAATGAGTTGTGTCTGAGATCTCACTCTGCAAAAATGGGCAGATGTCCAGTCCCAGAATACACATTTAGTATCAGATACTTCCTTAGTCAGAGCATTACATCCAGACTTGCAAGGAAAAGACTCATCTTGCAGATAACCTTAACCTTTAGCTACTGTGATTTTATCAGCCAGGATCTCTTCATAAGAACCACAAACGCTCATTAAGGGCAGCCCCCTATGATTACACTGCAGAAGCACCGAGCTGTTAACTGTTTTCAGTATTACTATATCCTTCACTGGCTTGGTAAAAGAGAGATGCAAGTATAGTCGGAACATAAATTACGCACCACACACAGCAATTATATTCAGAACCTTATAATTATATAATGTACTTAGTGCTTCATTAACACAGACATCTGGTTGGAGTCTGTCTTAAACCCACAAAGGAAAAGAAGTTAAAAATTAAGGCTGTCACTTGGTGCTTGCTTGCTCTCAAAAGCTAACGCTCCATGGCAGAGGCTCACTTCAAAGGGTTCAAACAATGCCAGACAACCTGAAGTACTTCTTTTTCTTTTTCATTTTCATACATATCCTAAACACGTCTCAGGAGAGAAGTAGGAATGGGGATGGGACATGGACAAGTGTACTTATCCCTTTAGGAATAATGAGTCACAAATGGAATCGAGACTGCAGCCATTTGTTAAATCCATTAATTCATTCATATTTCTGCCTCCTGATTTTATCATCACATGCAAACCCTAGAGAACTTTAGAATAAAATTCCTGCTACAGAATCCCCAAACTTGCCTTAAACTTTCTGCTAAAAGGGTTTGTTCTGTAGTGCCAGGAGCTGTTTATGTAAAGCATTGTGGGTCTCGTGTGCATTTGTTTGTTCATTTTTTGCAAGACACATCTTGTTTGGTCCAGACTTTGTAAAGAGACATGGTACTAATGTAGCTGTGTTTGCTTCCTCAAATTCACTCTGGGGACATAAATTTGGCTGGCAAAGTTCAGGGAAAAAAATAATATTTTATGATTGCTGATTACAGGAATGATCACAATCACTTTTGCATTTAAAAAGTCCAACAATACTGTGGATTTTGTACATTTTTGTTTACTTTAAAGCTCACAAAAATAACAACAACACAGCATAGGAATTCCCATCTTCTCCTTTGACATACTCATAGTCTGGGGCAATTGCTCATCACATTACCCGCTCCCTTGTAATCTACTCTTTTCCCCCTTGCACGTGTACCCATGAACACACGCTCTACCTGCTCCTGTCCCAGTCTTTATGCCATTTCCTTCACTCCTCAAAAACAGGCTTTTGCAAACGGTCTTTACTGAGACAATTTGTGACTGAGAAGAAGAGGTTGCAAGACGCAAAGAAAAAGATAAATGCACAATTTCTTAGCCTTGGACACTTAAGACAGTTACAATGTGATTAGCCACAACAGGTAGCATAGGGTAACATAGAGCTCTACTTTTCTACCAGATACAACGAATAGTTGTGTGGAAGCCCATGCAGCTATAAAAAAAGAGGATGTCTCATTGGTATTCTACAATCACAGCCAGATAGACTTTGGATTTCTTGTTAACTGTAGAACTTGTAAAGTGAAGGACCAAGACAACAGCATTTCTGCACCTCCTAATGCA